TAGCCTGTCTTCCCCAGCCACGGGGACCATGTGTGCTTTAACTTGCTAGTCCTTCGTTGGACAGATATTTTCATCCTAATATGCATTTCCAGGCTTTTACTGTTTATTCCTGTCCTGAGTTTCATTTATTTTTCTAAAGGAACTGGTGGTTAGTTTTTTCTTCTATAATTTTTCTCTTTATGTTGTCATCAAGTTTTTACTTAAATTCTTACTATTTCACATTGACTTGCAGGATTTGTTAAAAATATTAACCTATGGATAGTAAATAATTTTTGTTACATATTTAATCTTTTGTCCTTGTCATCTGTAAGTTTCTATGTTTATGTCAGACTAATGTTCAGGCAATTGTGATTTTTGTTGTGCTTACAAAGTTATTTCCACAGTAGGATTTTTGAGGGTGTTTTCTTGTTTCTTATTATTTTACTTTTTAAGGTATTGTTTTTAACACTTGGGTCCTCCATAATCTTACTGGATTGTTTTTATATTTGTGCATGCTGTGAACTGGGAAACTTTCTGAAATATGAGCTAATTTTTTAACCTCATTTGACCTCATCCATCTTCCCACTAATTAAATGTGCCAGCATTATAATAAACAGGCTCTCCATTTTACAATGAGTCTTTTTCTGAACTTTCTCCCAAAGTTTGCTCAATCTTTTGATCTATTTTTGAAACAATACTACATTATAAATCACCATGGCATATTCTCTTATCTGCTGGGCTAGGGCAAGTCTTCCTTGGCTTATGTTTATTTAGTTTTCCGGAGGACCTTGGAAATCAGCTAGTTTGGCCCCACCAAAAGTATCGTTGGAATTTTGATTAGGATTGCGATGCTAAATTTAGAGACCAGTTTCAGTAGAGTGGACTTCCATGTTTCCTGCGTCATCCACCTGAGTGGGGCTGGAGCTGTGCTGACACATGTGTTCTCCTTCCTTCACCAGCACCTGACTCCTGCTCCCCTCGTGGGCTAGATACTGAATGTTTAGGTAGACTTTTTTTTTTTTTTTTTTAATGTTAAGGAAGTGACTTTTTCCCTTAGTTTACTAAGAGTTTTGTGTTGAAATATATTTGAATCTTCATAAATGCCCTTCTAATCTATTGTTTCCTTTGATGTATCACTGTGATTTTATACACACACACACACACACAATGTTTCTTCCTTTTTCCTAATATATAATTACTAGTCCTCATAGAATCATAAAATACGCTTCTCTGAGATAGCTGATTATTTTAATGAYAGTTATGGTTTTCCTTGGTTGTGGGTATCAGCTAGGCTTCGGTGGATATTTTGCTTGGGGTCTTATGTGGCTGCTGTAAATGTTGGCCAAGGCCGCAGTCATTTGAAAGCTTGACTGCTTCATATCCACCATGCTTTCCTTGTGTGTTTGAGCTGATATCGGCTGAGCAGTTGATGATCAGATGAATTGTTGACTGGCACTTCCTTGTGGCCTCTGCATGTGGCCTCAGCCCTCTCACCTGTGGTGCCAAGGCTCAGAGAGAGCACTCAGGGCCAGCCTTTCAGGAAGACCAGAGCTAAACCTKCAAGCCTTCCTATGATGCAGCCTTAAGATTTCAGAAACTAAATGCCCACTGTATTCTGTGGGWAAACCAAGTAATTGCGTCCCGCATAGGTTAAAGAAGAAGAGAATTATGTTTCTGCTCTTTATTCTAAGAGCAGCGTGTGCAACAGGGGGTTTGCCATGGGTGGCAGCAGTCTTCAGAGACAGTCTCCATAGTCCACATATATACCATGAGAAAAGGACACTCGCCATCTTCCCAGAATCCTCAGGGTCTCATCGCAGCATCAGGCTCATGTGCTCTGACTTCTCATCCGAGTCAGATCTAGTATGAATGAGCCTCTCTGGGGTGGGACCTCAAGTACAGTTCTCCATGGAGGAGTTGAAGAGGGAGGTTTTGCCTCCCTCAGTGGTAGATAACTGCAGAGGATGCTCCTGTTCAAAGAAGGTGGGAATGGACGGCCCCATCAGTCTGTGGTCCAGAGCAATTGTGAAGTCCAGACAGATGTGAATTCCTTCCTTTTTCATAAAAATTAACCTGCTTTACAGTTGAAAAGCTCTCCTAGTCTACTACCTACCAGTAGAAAATTTGGGACCCAAATCTATCTATCTATCTATCTATCTCTCTCTCTCTCTCTCTCTCTCTCTCTCTCTCTCTCTCTTTATCTTTATTTATTTTGTTTATTTATTTTTTATGTGGTGCTGAGGATCGAACCCAGTATCTCACAAGTGCGAGGCAAGCTCTCTACCGCTGAGCTATATAACCCCAGCCCCTCTCTTTTTGTTTTGAACTATTTATAATGCCTTTAAAAAACCTTTTGGGCTTTCTGTACTTTTAATTACAATCTATTACTTTAGACAGAAACCACACTCATAAACCTCTTTAAGTCAATCTCCTTGCCACCATGGTCTGAAAGTCAGAGTGTCCAGGAACAACAATACACTTGGGTTCTTGAATGCCTTTTTTGTTGCTTCTTCTGCCATCTTGGAGCCTGCAGAAGCCTGCTGAGAACGGGACTTCTCATGGGCAGGTATGGAAGGCTGGGATGCAARGCCATTTTTGCTTTCTGTAAGCAAGGAATTCTGGAACCAAAGAGCACAGAGCTCTTCCTAATACTGAAGGTGTTTAGGCCTGAGATAAAAATGAATTATACTTGGGCAAGAAATATGCTTAAAGAAAAACACAGTGACTCTCAGTGACCAGCCGGACAAAACCAGAGTTATCTGGGCAAAGAGAACTCATGCCTGTGGTGTGGTTCATGCCAAATTCCAAAGCCACCCTTTGAAATGCTAGGGCCTCTTGAAAAGGAATCTGTGATGCGTGATGCCATACTGTCTGGGGGTTTAAAGTAATGAAAAGTAAATAAAAGTGGATGGCGGGGGACTTCCTTTTGTAACAGATGGTTGACAAGCCATGCCCTGGAGATTGTTAGAAACTAGCTTTTACTGGAGAACTTATGTGAAGGTGTGCCTTTTAAGTCTTGCTGAGGGATCATTGGAGATGACACTTGACTTCATCTTTACCTTGACTAAGAACATTTTGCTGACTAGAAGGGCCTTCCTGTTTTTGTATATCCTCATTAAAACCTTGAACACTCATTTTACTTTCTGTCTGGGTCCGTACCTTGTGATGGCATCTGAAAGAATCCGGCTAATGTTAACCTTAGGTGTGTTTCCTGTTCTCTGCTTCGCAGCTGCCTGCTTAGCCTTGCTCTGGCCAGCTCCCTCTCTGGCCTTCCTGCCTAAGCCCACATCTCCTGGGGCTTTTCTGCCTCTAAGCAGAACCCAGTCCCCAAACCTGTGCTGTGTTTCATGTTTTTGTTTCCAAAGTGCTTCACAGTCTGTTTTGATGATGTCACTAGATCAGAGCAAGTGGCTTTAAAAAATAGTGACTTGTTTTGCTGTGTTTCTGTGGCTCGGGAAGGTCAGCTGAGCGGTCCTCTCTTTCTCCTGTGCCATTGGCTTATTCACTCACCGCCTGATGACTCTCCAGTCCCCCTGCCTGGTGTCTGCCCCCCTTACCAGTCTCACGCTGCAGAACCCCCACATGCAGTGGTCTCAGGAGCGTCACTTTTCTCTCATGACMACTAACCACCAAAAGAACAAGAAGTAGCAACTGCCAGGACAATTAGGGGCCRTGTGTGGAATTCACAGTATGTTTCATATAATCTGGTCAGTGTGGTTAGAAGACTGGCCCAGACTGAGGTGGACAGAGAAATAGACTGTCCCGTTGTGGGGAAGCAGGCAAACTTGCAGAAAACTTATGATGAGAGATGTTGTTACTAGGAAATGAGTGGTTTCTAGAAATTATTTTAAGTTTTGGTTTGTGAGCGCTTGGTGATCACATGTGCACACAGGTGTAATGATTGTGAGGTGTAATGATCATGGTTTGTTAACTTCTACAGCATTTGAATTAGGAAATCGTCCTCCCTTTGTCCTTGTTCAAAGTTTGAAAAAAAAAAACAGTTTCATAAAATCACCTGAATTGCCTACATGAGAAGCTTTTAGTTTAGTCAAATATACTACTTTTCATTTTCATTTCTCTGTATTGTGTATGTTTAGAAGGTCCTTCCTGAATTGAGAACATTTGAATCTTTGGCCACAGTTCCTGTTTGGTATATATTTTGTTTTATTCTGTAGTCCATTGTCATAGTGTTATGTGAAGGCAGAACTTCCTCACATTGTAGACTCATGATTTTATTGCACTGTATAGTGTTATATATTCTAAAATATGTTCCTGCTCTTTTCTATTGATATGTGAATTATTTTTCATRCTGTTTATTATAACTCCAACCCAGATGTCTTAAGTTGGTAAAAGTCACTAAGTGTTCATACATCTAAATGTGGCTAAATGCCACCTAACCCACACCAAAGATGTATGATTATGATTTTWGATTACTGAGGACATTTTTAGACTCCTGTTAAGAATTTGTTTTAATGTATATCTGAGCCAAGTATTTTTGTGCTAAATTTTGTTTTCTAGAATATAAGAATCAGTAGACACAGCAGATGTCAATAATTATAATTTTATGCTTGTAATTATAACTTTCAAATATGTAACTTGATGTGTGGATGTCTTTCACAAGTAAATGAATAAAGGCAGTAATTGATTGCATTTACCATTGAAGATGTAGTTAAGCAAACCAAAGCAGATAACTAGGGAAGAGTTTTCTTAATTTATGAAGTTACTTGAGGTAGCTGCAACTGCCTGTAACCAGCCTGTACTCCCAGCAACCTAGGAGCCTGAGGCAGGACAGTCACAAGTTCAAGACCAACCTTTGTCACTTAGTGAGACACTGTCTCAACMAAAGTAGGGCTGGGCATATAGCTTCCTGGTAGAGTGCTCTTGGGCCTGTTATTTRAGAGTAGATCTAGTAAGATTTAATCATTCAACCATATCATTTAATTAATGAATTACTTTAAAATATACTCTTTAAATGACTTTTTTATCATTATTAATCTGGCTTTTCTTTTTTCTTTTTCCAGATACTGTTTTGTGTTTGCTTTGGGATACCTCACAGTGTGCCAAATCACTAGAGTCTATATCTTTGATTATGGACAATATTCTGCTGATTTTTCAGGGTAAGATTAAAACTTTGATTCAGCACTCCAATTTATCTTTTGTAACTCTTGGTTAAAATAAAACAAAATATAGTTGCATTTACTAGTTCCAGTGAAAAACTATCATTAAACATTTGAGTTCAAAATTCCTTTATGAATTTAGAATTTTTCTTATCATAGTTGGTTTCTTTACAATACTTTATGTCACAAAATATTATTCTAAATATATAACAATTTAATTTCTTACATAACATTCTGATATTGAAAGCATTTTCTAATTCTGATAGAGATTTCAGCAATAATTAATGATTCTGGAAATTTAGCCCCCTGGAGCCCATATTCTTGCTGCTTGCCCTCTCCCTCCCCCACCCGCTCACCCCCTTACCCCCTCTCCCCCTTCCCTCTCCCTTTCCCACTATCTCCCCTCCACTTATCCGACATTAGTTTCAACAGTAGTGGAGGTGACTTGAGGCTTCCGTTGCTGCAGAGGGGGTTCATTCCCTCCCTGGCCAGTTAGGTCTGTCCTGTTCTAGTAGCTGTTGGAGTTTCTGTTAMGACACCCTGCTGCACAAGCCCTTGTCTCCTGATTGACCCCCCTTGTGCACAGGGGTGTCTTCATTCACAGTGGGCCAGGTGGGGAGGGGGAGGTTTTAAACCTCAGTGTTCTTTATGTCGGGCTCTACAGCTTTCTCCATGGACAGCATACAGAAGAWGCTAGGTCAGTCTTGAGTCATTGGACAGCACAATAATCAGTAATAGATCCAATTTAAGAATAAGTAAATTGGAAAAAAATTAGACAAAACAGGTTATAATACTTCTGGAGAAAAAAATTGCTCGACAATAGTAATGGGCCCAAATTGATGAAAAAAAAAACCACTTCTGTGAAACAGAAGATGATCCATCTTTTTCTCCCTAAAGAGACCAAGTGGGTTTTACTGTACACATATAAAAGTAGTCTTGAATGGAAGTAGGTTGCATGAGTAAAATTGAGATGCATACCTAGAACGCAGAAAAGGAAAACAGACTGTCAGTCTTCTTATGAGTAGTAGGTGTTCTCGAAGAAATTGAGCTGTGGCTGGGTGCAGTGGCCATGGGTATAATCCCAGCTGCTCTGGAGGTTGAGATAGGAGGATGGCAAGCTCAAGGACAGCCTGGGCAGCTTAGCGAAACCCTGTCCCAAAAAGGGGCTGGGGATGTATGTAGCTCAGTGGTAGAGCACCCTTGGGGTCAGTCTTTAGTTTCACTCTGTGTGTGTGTGTGTGTGTGTGTGTGTGTGTGTGTGTATATATATGTGTGTGTGTGTATACACGTGTGTATAAACACATATGTATATGGATGAATGAATAGATAAGTAGAAAGATATTGAGCTCCTAAACAGAATCACATGTTGTCACATGTTGTCATCATAGTGTAATGAAGTTAGGAAGTATTTAAAAAGTATCACAGTCACTGCAAAAATTAACCTAAGAATAGTGATCATGTTGCCCTTGTTCATCTTATATCCTTAGTGTAGTAGCACACAATGGTATTAAATATTTAATTGAATTAGAAATAATACTTAAGGGAAAAAGTAGAAAATACAATAGGAAAGGGAAAAATCTAAATAGGGAAACAGGAACCATGCAGACAAACTGAATCGAGAGGTGAATTCATAGCTTTGAATACTTGCATTGTAATAAATGAGAAATAAATTAGGCATTTAATATAAAATAGAAACAAAAAGAATTTTCTCAGCTAATTTAGTTTATGAATGTTGAAAACAGAAATGTTAACATCAGCAACTAAGCTGACAGTGCCGTGCAATCATTACTTTTCAACCCCTGGAGTCCTAGGACTCCATGGTAAGTTCTGCAGGCAGTGCAAAAGGATAAGGAGCTAAGCCACTGAGGTTCTAGGTCTCCCGGTCTTGCTTCAACCCCAGTTAAGGTTTTGCTAGTTAATATTTTAGGATTCTACATATTTCATTAAGAAGTCTTTTCTTTATTTTTTAATACCACCAGATATAAAAGTAAATTAGTATAATCCAGTTGAATTGATCATACAACCAAGTGGGTTGATGCTAATACAGCTTTGTGTGACCAGTCCAGAGAGACCCTTACTCTCTTTTCATTCTCTAGTTCTCCACCTAACATCTCACCGTATTAGCTAGTGATAGGCTACCTGCTGTTACACAGTCACATAACTTCAGTGGAATAACATAAGACTTTACTTCTCATTCAGGTTACATTTCACTGAGGATGGTGCTTCCATTCCACACAATAACTTAGGGGACCAGGCCCTTTCTTTCTTGTATTTCCACTTCCTTCAGGCTCTCTGGAAACTTCTTCTAAGTTGATGGGGCAGGTGGTGTCTTTGCACAACGTATGTACACATACAATTCAGGATATGTTTAAAACATTAATTAGATAAGAGGAACTTTTTTTWAAAAAAATATTATTGTAGTTGTCAGTGGACCTTTACTTTTTGTTTACATGTGGTGCTGAGAATCGAACCCAGTGCGTCACACATGCTAGGTAAGCGCTGTACCACTGAGCTACAACCCCAGCCCAAGAGGAACTCTTTTTAAAAAAAAAGATATTTTTAGTTGTAGATGGCCACAATAACTTTATTTATTTTTTGATGTGGTGCCGAGGATCGAACTCAGTGCCTCACATATGCTAGGTAAGTGCTCTACCCCTGAGCTACAACCCCAGCCCCTAAAAGGGTCTGTTAATAGAAGTTTCTATTTATGGAAAGATTGAAAGCTGAAATTGTTAGAGCTTAGATTAGCCTTAGAAAATAGATACAAGAGCTGGGTACTGTGGCACATGCCTGTAATCCTAGCGGTTGGGGAGGCTGAGGCAGGAGGATCATAAGTTCAAGGCCAGCCTCAGCAAAAGCAAGGCACTTAGCAACTCAGTGAGACTCTAAATAAAAATACAAAAAATTGGACTGGGGATGTGGCTCAATGTGAGTTCAATTCCCAGTACCAAAAGAAAAAGAAAATAGATACAAGAGAAATATAAATCAACAAAATAGTTTTCCTTTATACCAACAATAATCAATTAGAAAACATAGAAGTTTCAGAAGCAATAAAAACTATGAAATATCTAGGAATACATGTTTTWAAAAAGGAGCAGGATTTCTGTGTGAAAACTAAAATTTTTATTCTAGGTCATTGAATACTAACTTGAGAATCATTCATTTATAAGAATAGTAAAATTCAGTTTTGTAAGGATGGTAATTTTCCTGTTGTTAACCTGACACTGAATGTGGTAAAAGTTGGGGTTTTGATAGAGATAAGATAAAGTGATTGAAAAGTTTGTCTGGAAGGTTAAATTCTTGAGAGTAGTAAACTCAGTATAAAGATTGCTACTGTCTATAAAATAAGAATCATTAAGCCAGGTGCAGTGGTGCACACCTGTAATCCCAGTGACCTGAAGAGGAGGCAGGTGCATGGTATGTTCAAGGTCAAGAACTTGTCTTAAAGTAAAAAGGACTGGGGGTTTAGCTCAGGGGTAGAATACCCCCTCCCAAAAGGACAAGAGTCATTAAAATACTATGGAACTGACATAGGAGTAGACAAATCAAGAAAGCCAGGGTAGAGGACCTAGAAGGAGAGACCCCAGGGATTTAAGAATAAAAATACATGGGCTGGGGATGTGGCTCAAGCRGTAGCRCGCTCGCCTGGCATGCGTGCGGCCCGGGTTCGATCCTCAGCACCACATACCAAYAAAGATGTTGTGTCCGCCGAGAACTAAAAAATAAATATTAAAAATTCTTTCTCTCTATCTCTCTCTCTCCTCTCTCACTCTCTCTTTAAAAAAAAAAAAAAAAGGAATAAAAATACAGAATAGCAATGGTGGGATCAAAACCAGTGGGCAAGCCTGGCCCAGTTCTTCAGCACCAGGACATCAGGAGGAGGAGGGAAAGGCAGATCCTTACCTCCATGGAGATTGACAAATTGTAGATGGAGGCAAGAGCAGTTTTTCTGGGAGAAGGATAATGAATTCTGATTGAAATATGTTGATTTTTGTGATGCCAAAGAGATTTTTTAATATGTCTACCAAAAAAAGCTATGTGTGACATAATTTTCCATTCAAATCCAGACTCTGTCTCAGCAGAGCAGACGGAAACAGATGCTCAGTAAGCTACTCGCTGTGGCTTAGCTGGGCCTGTCCTTTGTGGAGGTGGTGTGCCTTCTGGTAGGTGCTTTTGTAGGTGACAGTTCTGTTAAGCACATGCAATGACAGGCCCTGGTCCCAGATGTGATTGTCCCCTTCATTACTCTCTTTAGCTTTATTTAGGTGCAGAGTCTAAGTTTAGGGATCTCTTCGCCTTCTGTGAAAGGAGGACAAAGGCCCTTGTTGCTCTTTGTGACCCTGCTCTGCCTTGCAGTGCACCCAGAAGCAGCTGTAAATGGGGTGACTAAATTATTCAAGTGCTCGCAAGCCGTKGTGTTCCACCTGTCCTGGTTCATCCAGTGGGAGTATCTCCCAACCCCTTGACCTATATTTGTCTACAGGAACTATCCTGTGTAGCTGCTGCTAATAGGGCTCAGGTGACTGTGGGTGAAGAGACACAACCTGTTTATCATTTGTCTGTCCCCCACCCATGCCTGGGCTTTTCCTCTGAGTTTATGGATGTTACAAGGCAGTGTGCAGCATAATCTCTATCAGAAACATACCGTGCTGAGGGGACCAGGGGCTGAAATGGAGTATCAAATTCCTTGCATGTATAGTTTTATCAAAATGAACCCAACTTCTATGTATAACTATAATGCTCTAATTAAAAAAAAATAAACACAGTGCTTCTTAACACAGGCCTGCAGAGCCCCTCACAGCTTTTCAGGTCTGTCTCTCCTGTTCTTTCTTTGGCAGTACTTTTTTTCACCCTGTTCTCTGCTTGGAACAGCTTTCCAACCATATCTGCCTGTTGAAACCTCCCAAATCTTAAAGGACTGAATTAAATAACTTACTTGAGATATTTCCCCCTTGGCTCTGTCGGTGTGAAGTTTCACTCGCCTCTGCACATTTCTTCAT